GGCACATACATGGATGTTTTATTAAAGAAGAAAAGGTGGAGGGGGAGAAGGAGGAAGAGGAGGAGGAAGGAAAGAAAGGAAGAAGGCAGGCAGGAATCAGTTTCTTCTGTCACTCAATACTGGGTCAGTGAGACTAAACGACACATTTTGTTTCTTCTCCCTGGGATTCACTGGAAATTTTTTTGCACAGTAAATAAGGAGTTAAGGTAAGTAATATCAAATAAACTCATTGGACTTGGAAGAAAAGCCAAAGGTCCCTTCCTAGGGTAATGCAGGCTCTCTGTGGAGTAAGCAATGGGCACCATGTGATAGTTCATTTATCCTCTCATTCCCCTTAGCTCACTTCCCACAGGAGAGGGCTCTGAGTGGCCTCTGTGTACCTGGTGGGACAGCATCTGAGACCTCAATGGCCCAGCTTCTCAGCATACCAGAGCGTGCCGCTGTCCGCGCCTCCCAATTTTAACAGACAGTGCATTGTTCTGCTGAAGTAACAAACTGAAAGCAATCGATGGTCTACCCAAATACCTGCTTTTTAAAGAATTAGGGTGACAGTGATTTCTTGACATGGAAGGCACTGTTGCAGGTTAAATAAAATTGATTTTCCTTGCTTCAGAACTTAGGAGACTCATGGTGATCCTGGTGCGTCAGGCTTAGATGAATATATGACATACAATCAGTTATTTCTATTTGTTTGAAGATGCCTTGTTGAGGTCAGTGTCAGCTTTCTGTGTGGTTCTGTTAAGTTCAAGTCCTCCCTCGGGAAAGGTGAGGCACAGTTTTGAGTGCCTATTGTGCAGCAGGCACAGTTCCATGCTCTTTTCCACAAAACGGCACAAAGAGTTAGACATTTGAAGCCAAGTATGTCTGGCTACATAGCCCTGTTTCTTCACCACCCCAATGACCAAAACTCATAGACAGAAATACATTTTGTAACAGAACCCAAGACACATATATATTACTGACACCCAGTTTCATGGAGCCATATTTACCTCTATATGTGCAATTTACTCTGACTTTACCTATTCTGTTCTATTACAATTCAATTCTTGACAATTCTGTTTGCAGTCCCACTGAATTAGTCTTGTGGCCTATGATTGTAACATGACCCACAGTTTGATAAATACTGCACTACTATTTTAAATTATACTTAGTGGAACAAGAGCGTACTGGCAGACATTGCATAGAAAATTCCATCAATACAATGGAGAATTTTCATCTAAGAACTAAGAGTTATAATATTTAGTCCCCCCAAATGAATACAGGTTGTAATCAATGGCAGTATTCATTTGCTTCTCAAAGAGTCTGTTACTTAAAATAAAAACAATTAAAATTGAGATGGCAAGTTTTTTCTTTAGCAATAAAAGCCATAAGAAAGAATTACAATTATCATTGCTTTTGTTAGCAATCATTGTTGAACTCACAACCTGCCAGCCACTGTTCTATGAGCTTCAAATATAACTCTTTTAACTCTCACTCCTTACTTTATGAAGCAGGTAAATATTATTACTCCCACTTTACAGCCAGAATTCCTTCGTTTTCTTTATCACAAATTTTCCATTCTAAAATGTGATTATATATCTTGGAAGATGAATGATATTGTGACTGTGATTCAAGAAATTTGCATTTCTATGGTTTATTTAAATGAAATATAAAAGCCTATATCATCTGATTGGTTTGATGAATCTGACTGGCTTTTTAATAATAAATCATAGAATTTAAAATGACTTTTGTAGAAAAATTCCAGAGTATCCAACCATAAATTGGCATGTCTTTGCCTTCAAATCAAAAGCTGAAAATTAACATAGGTACAAAACTCTTATCTAATTTATGGACGTTACTCAGATTTTACCAAGTATCCCAATAATGCTTTTAAAGTTAAAAAAAAAACAAAAAAAAACAAAGTCTTGGACCATGCATTGCATTCAGTTGTCATTCCTTTTTAGCCTTCTTTATTCTAAAATAGTTCTTTAGAATAAAGGATTTATCAGATTGTTTTTAATACCAGTCTTTAGCATAACCTAATTTAGAGAATAAACATGATTCCAAAGGCAATGGGTTTGTAAGGATGGTTGTTTGGGTGAGATTTGTGATGGTTTGCACATTTCCTCTAGCAGGGATGATCAGTGTATGCTTTCTTTGTTCTCTTAGAAATCCTGACCCGCAAGCTGGGTACAGTGGTGCACGCCTGTAATCCCAGTAACTTGGGAGACTGAGGCAGGAGGATCATAAATTCAAGGCCAGACTAGGTATCTTAGTAAGACCCTGTCTCAAAATTAAAAGTAAAAAGGGTGTAGTTCAGAGGTAAAGCACCTCTTGGTTTGATTCCTGACATTTTCCACAGAATATGAAGGACAGACTGCAAATCGAGGTGATCCATTCGTTTATAATTAACGACTCATCTGTTGCTAAAAAATATATAAGACTGTCCCAAAACACCTGAAACATTTCTAAGATTATTAAACAGAAAAAAATTGAAGACATTATTATATTTTATTGCAGAAAATAAAAAACCTTATTAAAACATTCATTTAAGTAACTGCATGCTTAGTTACAATTATTAGTACTTTAATGTAAATAATTAGAAGTATTTATAATTGGTTAAAGGTTCATTACTTCTGGTCCAGTGTGTAGAAGTTAGTTTATGAGTATAAGAATAAAGGCAATCAGATCAATTTGCTTATCTTTTTATTAACATTTGAATTAACTTACTAAAAAAAAAATTCACATTAAAAGTCTACTAAAGCCTGAGAAGCCCATTTTCTTTCACAAGGCACATTAATGGTTTTGATTTTTTAATCTCTCAGATTGCATCTATATAGCACTGAGCAGATACTTTAACAAGGAATAAATGGTTTCAAAAAGGCTTGGATGAGTATGCCTTACAAATACATCTCTTTTTCTGGAAGACCCAGTGACATATTTCCTGAATTTTTTTCAATGTTATTTATCACTTGAAAGACAAGCTACCTGCAAACATGATTCTTTGCTATGCATTATAGCCAAGCTCATCATCAACCCTCCTTCCTCTCTCTAGTCTATGAGAAAAAAGAAAGAAATTAGGGCCTGGAAGAGAATATTCCCAAATGTCCAAGATAAGGCATTGATATCTGTAGCTGAAGCTATAAAACATTTTATTTCATTCCAGAACAACTTTCTATACTGATCTTAAAAATAGGACAGTGCCCTTGAAGTGCAATCGGTAACAGAAAATCCTTATCCCATGCTCAGTAGTGAGAACAGATTACAAACCTTCTCTTTCCACAGCAGAGTTGCAGTACAACAGCAGAGAGGCAATCATTTGTTCACTTGAGTTCAACTCCAGATTATACTCAAATCTGATTGCAAAAGTCTATTCATATGGAAGAAGAGACAAAAGGCTAACAGCTCTCCTGGAAGAGTGTCAAAGGCTCGGGGTTTACAAGACATGAGAAAAATTTGCTCTTGGGAACTATAATGACTTAGGGATCTTTTGTAGGAAAAGTCCTTTGCTAGGATTAAAGGCAGGATTATTGGTGGAGAGTAGAGAAATTGAAATGGAGAGCTTCTTAAAGCGTCAATCCAGTCGAAATATCCAGGGAGTTCTTGAAGTGTGAATTCTAAGGAAATAGGCAGTACTTGAACAGAAAAGACAAACTCAAACTCACTATTTCAAGTGATGAAGCTGGAAGTGGGACACAAAGTGATGGGATTGCCAATGCTTTTGGAGGGGAAGCAAGAGGCCAATGACAGTGACTTGGGTTCCCAGCTTCTGAGTAAAGTACAAACTCAAGAAAATCCCAATGAGGGAGAAATTTGTCTGTATAGATTGTTATGGCTACTTCATTGCAAAGAACATCAGTAATTATAAACTTGATTAATGTTATTTTACATACTTTATCTAGCTTCAAAAAGTATTATTATATATCATAACTTTAGCAGGACTATTACAAATAGCGATGTAATTACTAGACATTTTAAAAGTAATTCTTGAACTTGACTTCCCATAAAATTCCATACTTCCAGATTTAGAGTATACAGAATGTGAAGTGCCAGGTACTGAATATTTGGATCCCATAAATTCACACACTGAAATCCTAATCCCATTTATTGAATTTGCTTTTTGTACTTTAGGAGTCTTGTTGAAGAAGTTGATTCCTAAGCTAACATGATGAAGATTTGGGCCTGTATTTTCTTCTAGTAGGCACAGGATCTCTGGTCTATTGCGTAGGTCCTTGATCCACTTTCAGTTGAGTTTTGTGCAGGGTGAGAGATAGGGGTTCAATTTAATTTTGCTACATATGGCTTTCCAGTTTTCCTAGCGCCATTTATTAAAGAGGATATCTTTTCTTCAATGTGCATTTATGGCACTTTTTTCTAGTATGAGATAACTGTATTTATGTGGGTTTGTCTCTCTGTCTTCTATTCTGTTCCATGGGTCTCCATGTCTGTTTTGGTACCAACATAGTATTAGTATTAGGAAGTCAGGCTTTGGGGAGGTCATGGGGGTAAAATCCTCATGAGTGGTATGGATGCCCTTATAAGAAGACATACAACAGAATTTTTCCCCCTTTTTTCACTATGTGAGGATGCAAGTCAGATACTTAAAAATCAGGAAGAGGGGCCTTGCCAAGAGCCCAACCATTTTAGTAACTGATCTCAGATTTCAAACCTTTTGTACTGTAAGATATGTGTTTGTTGTTTAAGTTACCTAGACTATGTATTCATTAATTATACTATGTATTCAGCCCAAACAGATGAAGACATTGAAATGATATTTTCAGTGGGGAATGATATTGACCAAATTATGTTGCTATACTGTTTGCATGCACAAATATGTAACAAAAATTCCACTATTATGTATAATTATAAGGCACCAATAATGAAATAATACATACATCTGATATGAAGCCTGAAAAAAAATAAATTACATTTTCAATGCAAAGAGGGAAAATTATTCTGCAATTGACTTGACAACATTTAGTGAAATAAAACCTGTGTTCCAACAAAAACTTGTATGCCAATATTTGTAACAGCTTTATTCACGGTCGCCCAAACTGGAAACAACCAAAACATTCCTCAATTGAGGGAAGGATAGAATAACAGTGGATATCTATAAAATAGAATACTATTCAGGAATAAAAAGAAATGAATTATTAATACATAAAGCAACATGGGAGAATTTAACATGTATTATATGAAGTAAAAGAAGGTAGGTTCAAAAAGGCACACATTTATCGGTTTCATTCTGTAAAATGTAGAACTATAAGATGAATATATTAAGAGTGTGGGGAGGGATCAACTACAAAGCAATAGCAGAAGGATATTTGGGGGTTGGAGGATGTGAGATGGTGACGGACTTCTTCTGCCTTTTGGTTAAGATGGTGGTTACATGAGTAAAATTGTCAGAAATCACAGACCTGTAAAGCAAAAAGAGTGATTTTTACTATATCTAACTTATTAAATAACTTAAAACAACTATTGAAAATAAAATACTAAACTGCAATAGCATTGTGTTAGTCTCCTATGGCTACTACAACAAATCACCACAAATTCGATGGCTCAAAACAACATAAATTCTATTTCACTTAACATAATATTTTCCAAGGTGCATCTGTAATTATAGCAATTGTAAATTCTTCATTCCTTTATGCGGACAAACAATGTTTCATGGTGTGGAATCTATCCATTCACCAGTGGATGGACCTTGGGTTGGAATGCAGCTGCTATGAACATCTGTACACAAGTTTTTATGTACATGTAAGTTTTAATTTCTCTTGGTTATGTATCTAGAAATGGAATTGCTGGGTCACATTATAATAACAATTTCTTTAAACTTTGAGGATCTGCCAAATAGTTTTACAAAGTGTCTTTACCTCTTTATATTTCCACTACCAGTGTATAAGCGTTCTGATTTGTCCATGTCGCCACTAACACTTGCTATGTTTTGTCTTTTTTATTATAGCCATTCTAGTGAGAGTGGAATGGTTTTATATAATTGTGGTTTTGATGTGCATCTCATTAATGGCTAATAATGTTGAAAAGTTCTTCAAGTATTATTTACTGGCCATTTGTAATTTGCTCCGGAGAAATATTCATCCAGATCCTTTATCCATAATGTCATTGATCATTGTTGCACTTACTTAATAATTTTGAAATTTTTCCTTTTAGAAATGCTTAATATGATGCTTTGCCCAATTAAAATTTCTATTTGTCTTTTCAAGAAAGAAGAAAAGCACAAATTAATTCTTTCACAGTTCTAAAGGCCAGAAGTCCAAACTGAATCATAGAAAGCTAAAATCAAGATGTAGGCAAGGCCACACTCCTTCTGGAGGTTCTAGGAGAAAATCTGTTCCTTGCCTCTTTTGGTTTTTCGAATGGTTGGTGGTGGCCCTTGGCTTATGGCTGTACCCATAATCTCAGTCTCTGTGATTGTACTCTGTGCAATCTTCATTTGCCTCCTTCTTTAATGATACCTGTGATTGCATTGGGTCCATTAAACAATCCAAAATAATCTCCTGATTTCAAGATCCTTAACATCTACAAAATGTTTTCCATATAAATTAATATTTACGAATTTCAAGGAATATGATATGGTTATTTGGGAGAGTGGAGCCGTCATGCAGGCTTTGATATAAGATATAAGGGGTTTACACAGGAAAGTTTTAATATACTAATAGTGTCCAATGTCTAAGATGAATGGTAAAAACAAGTGTTCAGATTTTGAGTGGCAAAAAATAAATAAAGAAATGAGAGCATTTCTGAATGAATGAGTAGTGTATAGTAGAAAAATATATGGTACATTTAGGGTATGATAAATAGACTCAATGCCTGAACTGTGAAATGTACTAGAACATGTTGTGCAGCAGACAGGTTGTATCCAAATGATGAAGCATTTAAATCCCCTTCTGATAATCTTGGCATTGACTTTTAAGTCTTCTGGGGCTGGCAAACTTCATGAGTGAATAAGAATCAAACCAGTTATTTTATTAGTTGTTTAAATATAAATAAAGTATGGTAGTATTTGCTGTATGTCAAGAATGGTTTATGCACTTTAAATATTTTAGATCTTTTTATCTAGAAACAACTCTAAGGAGTAGACACTAATATCATAACCATTGTACAAATGAGGAAACTGAGGTACAGGAAAGTCAAGTGCTCTTTCAAGGTCACACAGCTAGTCAGTCGTAGTACCAGGATTTGAAGCTAGGAAGAGAGCCTCCAGGATTTTTGCTTTAACTATTTGCTCTACTAAGGAGAACAGGGGTAAGAAAATGAAAATAAGGAATGCAGGTAGACAAGAAAAATAAACAAATAAATAAAGATAATGATGAATAGAAAGCTAGGAGCAATGTCCTGAATGTGACTGCATGACCAATATGATTCTGCAACCTGTACACTCAGAAAAAATGAGAAATTATATCCCATCTGATTCGAATGTATATCAAAGTCATTGTACTGTCATGTGTAACAAATTAAAACAAATTAAAAAAATAAATAAATAAAATCAACTGGAAAAAAATAGTGGAACAGAGATCAAGTTGCCAAAAGGAATCACAAATGCCCTCAAGTGCTCCCACCCAATAGGACCTGCATGAGACACAGAGTAACTGCTGATGCCATCATTCAAAATGGGTTCACAGATGCCTCAGGTTCTTTCAGATGCCCATTCTTTGGGGCAAAATCTCCAGCTTTCAGATCATTCCACAGGCTGAAAGATAAATGTCAGGTCACGCTCTGAGGGAGCCCTGTCCTATTTTCTCCTCTAAATGCCTACTTCACATAGACCCCATAACATTTCTGCATTAAGGTAATGAGATAAACATATTGTTTGAAATTTTCCACTGTTTTTTTTTATGTCTAAGATTAGAATTGTGTCCCTTTTCCATAAAAGTGGGGAGTTTTCTTTTGTGCCATTTCAAATACACTGTTTTGTAACACTGTAGTTTCAGAAGTGTATTTCTCATTATTTCTGGGTCCAAAAATAAGCTCAGTTGGGAAACAAGACATACGATCCTGCATACCTTCAACAGTGTAGACCTGCAGCATCAACAGGAACGTTCCCCAGGACACTGCATTTCCATTCCCACTGGCTGCTAATTACTAACTCACAGTGAAAGTGTCACACTGCTCTCCTTTCAGCACTCTGTTGGCCAACGGTCTCTGGCAATAATCTCTCAACACATAAGCACCGTTCCCTTTCATCACATTATTTAATCAATAAAGTAATGTCCTCGCACCGGCCAGGCGCAGAGCCGTCTTGTCACAAGTGCTAAATAAATGAAACAAACACCAGTCCTGCTTCTACAACCTCTCCATTAATAAACATGAATGGAGATGTCTTTAATACAAAATCCATTCTCTGGAACACTTAGAAATGCACACACGAGCACATCGCTGAGACTCAAGGAGGAGTCGTTCATATAATGGTGAGATTAGGCCAAGTCCCACTGGGTCAAGTCCCACCCACGAGTGGACAAGGTGACATGGCTTCCAGCTGTGACAGATGCCCTTCCTCACTCTCTCAGGCCTCCTCCTTCCTGAGGGGTGATGTTTCCTCATCCTTTCCCAGTCTATAGGAAGCAAGCACATCATAAAAAGGTCCTCCTGCAGAGGGGAAGGAAGGGCTCTCTCTTGAGCTCAGCCCACAGAAGAATGATAAGTAGCCCATTCCCCATCTCTCCTTGACAGGGGCCATGTGCTGTGGTGGTAATGGGCTTCCAGGTACAAATAACTAATAAATAACTAATAGCTCTTGACTATTAGTTACTGGTTATAAAGCCAGAGAAGTAAAGTGTAAGTCTTATCCTTATGCCCTTCTAAAATTCTAAAACCTGTGGATGTTTGGGGAAAACGATAGTCCTCTTCATATCTCATAATCTATAGATCATAAATATGGGGTAGATGGTACGTGGATAAATGACTTCTCTAGACAACACAGAGTCGCCATCTACAGAAGCTAGCATTTACCAGGAACACGCCATAAGACAGGCACTCTGGCAACAGACAGCTTATTTCATCCTCTCATTTTACAGATAAAGAAACTAAGGCTTGGAAAGGATAAGTCAGTTACCCAGAATTCCAGATTCAGTATCTTCATTTCTCTCTTTCAAAAGTTTTTCTTCCCAACCCAAGTCCTGAAGTTTCAAGGTGTGTTTTCTGTTTTGTCATATTTAGTGAGGGGCTTTCTGGGTTGTTTCCTGGGGTGAATCAATTCTCATGACCAGTGACATGAGAATTACTGTCAGGCTTTGAAGTGGAAGCCAGAACCCCCAAGTTCCCTGGCTTTCAGGAATCAGGAACCATGATTTTCTAGTAAAATCATCCTGTAACTACTCCATTTTTCTATAAGAAATCTCATCCCTCCACTATACTTCCACAGGGGGTTTATTCTATGCAATTCCTCCTGATTGCAAAATTACCCTTCTTTTCCATCTCACCTCCAGGAGAATCCTCCCTCCTTCCCACCTGGTCTCACGCATTGGAGAGCTTCTCTTCCTGTGTCACTCACAGCCGTGTTAAAAAAGGGCTCTTGTGTAAAACTGGTTTTTGTGAAATGTTATAGAAGGAAATTAAATTACACCACAGAGAGGAAACAACTTTAAGTGGAGTATTTTACGGCATAAATATAAACTATTCCACTAAAGGGAACTTCTTACCAATACTTTCTCCTGAGGTCCTCCTTATTGACCATGCTTTATTGTACTGACCATGCTATATTGTACTAACAGTGGAATCTTTGGCTTCATCTCTCCTCTCCTCTAAACACTGCCCATACCAACAAGCCCCATACCAACTTCGTGAGCTGCCAATAGACAATTATCCAATTCTGGTTACTTGATGATGGCCAGCACTCTCTCCAATATCTAGATGAGTTTGGGGTCTTAGTCACTTTCCATAATCAAAGGACCTTAAAAAATATTTTTCCTTACAAAAGTCTAGATGTCCCTTTTTTTAAGGGCAGCCATTTAAAGGGTAACCACAGCAGAGTGAATAATAGCCACTACCCTGAAACCATGCTTTATTTAAGATGCCTGGAGGAAGTCAATAATCTTTTTCCTAAATAAAATATAAATGGCTCCCCTTAAGCTATTTGATAAGCTGGTGTCATTTCGGAAGAATATCACACTCTGAGTGTTGTTCAACAAATATTTGCTAAGTTAATTGGTAATTACAGTTGCTTCCCAAAGGAAAGGAGACAAAGGGTAGGTAAAGTAAAATTACTTTATTCTCACTTTAAGAGCAAAAACTTTAATATTGTCCTGAGTCTGTTTTAGCAGAAATTAGGCACTTGGTTTTCATTAGCAAAGGCATTCACAGATATTTCTCCTAATGAAAATCTAAAACCAGTCCTTTAAAATGGCTTAGTGATAGTGATGATTCTTCAGAGAGCTCACCAGTTTCACAGCCCTATGGGACGTGTTGATCATTCGTTTTATAGGTCAAGTGCAAGTGCGTTTATTAATGTATGCTCTGATCTAACCCACACTGCAGGATTAACTTCACAGTGCTTGATCAATGATACCAAAATTAATGGATTCATCAGTGCTGCCCATGGAGACACCCTCGTCATTTATATTGCATTTCCTCCAAGTTGTAATTGGGCATGTAATCTGTGCAGTCTCTAAGTGGACTCTTGAAAAGAAACCTACTTTTCAGAAGGAATTGTGGAAATTTTATTATCTCCAAGACTTCAGTTCATCAGGTACTCCTGTTCTGTTGCATCATTGCCCCAACATCTGGACAAGGATTATCTCCCATGCTAAATACCCTCTTTCTTTATAAATCATTCAAAGGTTATATTCTATATCATGTCCTTTTCTTTATCCATATCATTTCCATTACTACTACTCCATGGAAACAATACTCTCAAAAATCCTAACGATCTTCTAACCACCAGATTTAGTCACCTTTCCTAGAATCAGTAGCATCAAACATTCCTAACCATGCACTCTCACCTGATACGTTTTCAGCAGCTGGACTCTAAGACATTGTCCTTCTCAGATCTTGTCTTTCTGGTCAGAATTTATCAGTCTTTCTGTTGGATCTTTTTCTGGTGGTTTGGTAAATCTTCCTCTAAATTCTGTTCTCTCTTCTGTTCTCTCTTCATTCAGGGCAATCTACTCACTTTGGTGGCTTCTACAGCCATGTTATGTACATAATTTCCATATATAAACTCTAATTTCATTACTCAAGAAGAAAGCACAGGAAATATAAAATAAGATAAGAATAAGCCCACAAATTCCATTAATAAAAGAAAATATAAAAGAACTTAATTCTCCAACTAAAGACTTTCTATGAAGGTAAGAAACAAATTGGTTACAAATGCTAAAATTGAATGAGGAAAAAAATTTTACCTTTTATTTATTTAAAAGAAAATGTAGACACAGAAAGGTTGAAAGTAAAGAACCAAGGTACCTACTTGTCCATACAGAAAGAGGCTCCCCACACACACACACACATGATAAACAGCAGATAAAATACAAATTAGGGCAAAAAGTATTCTGAAAAATAAAAGGTTATTATATATATCCAAATCATCAACAATTTACCAAGAAAATATAAAAATCACTAATATGTATGTAACTAACAACATAGTCTCAAATAATACTAAGCAAACATTAATTGAAATGTAAAAATATATTGATAATGTCATAATCACAGTGACAGATTTTAAAATCCTTTTCTTAGTAATTGCATCCAGTAATTAAAGAATAAATACTTTTGCAGGCCCGTGTAGAAGATTTGCAACAGTTAACTATACACTTAAAACACAAAGCAAACCTCAACAAATATCAATGAAATAATCTCTGTCATTCAGATCATAATCTGAAAAAAATGCAATAAAAGCTAAAGAAAAAAAGATATATTTGGAAATAACAAAATATATGCCTAAATAGTTCAGAGATTCTAATTACAGAATTATTTCCAAATATTTGTAATTGGACAACAACGGAAAATCTACGTGGCAAAACTTGTGATACAACTAAAGCAATACTTTGTAGAAAATTTATATTCTTAACAACATATACTTTGAAGAAGAAAAGTCAAATTCATTGCATTATTCAATGCATCAATCAACTCAAGAAATAAGAGAACAAAGTACAAGAAATGAAGTAAAAATAAAAATAGAAACTAATGAAATGTTGGACAACAAAATGAAGAAAATTAATAAAAATAAAAACTCTTTTGAAAACAAAAAGAAAATAGTAGACAAAACACTAAAATTATTTAAAAAAAGAAAAATACAAATAAATAACTAGAGTATTAAAAACAGGAAAACAGGACATAGCTACAGAAACAATGAAGTTTTTTGTTTATTTGTTTGTTTTAAATAGATACTATGGCAAAACTTATGCCATAAAGTTTGGAAACTGAGATGAAAGGGAGAATTTCTTAAAAATATAACTTGCCTGTGGGTCATGGAGGGGTGCATGCCTGTAATCCCAGCAACTTGGGAGGCTGAGGCAGAAGGATCACAAGTTCAAGGTCATCCTCAGCAACTAAGGGAAGCCCTAAGCAACTTAGGGAGAACTGATTCAAAATAAAAATGGGCTGGAGATGTGGCTCAGTGGTAAAGTAACTCTGGGCTCAATCCTTAGTACTATATATATATATATATATATATATATATATATATATATATATATATATATACTTATAGACAAACACACATATATCTTATCTGCTCTATCCCAGTAAATAGCCTGAATGGATGTATAAATGTCAGAGCACAGATTGTGAATTCCTAATTAGAATCTACATACTCACTTTTAACAAATTCATTTTCTTTTAAACCTTTTCATGCAGGGAAAAGAATATCTAGAATCCTGTACTGTCTTAGAGAGTGGTTCATTCCTCTCCTGCAGATAAGGACACTAAGGTTCAGGGACAGGAAAACAGCAACAGCCGCTCGTGCCTATGGAGTTCTCAATGTCAGTCTGGTGCCCTGCTAAACATTTTGAATGCAGATGAACAGCTGGCAAAAATTTTCTCCCCTTCTCTAGGTTGGCACCTCACTCTGTTGATTGTTCCCAAGCTTTTTAGTTTGATGTAATTCTACCTGTCAATTTTTGCTTTTGTTCCCTGTGTTTTGGGGTCCTATCCAGAAAATCACTGCCTGTACCAACGTCTCAAAGTGCTTCCCCTTTATTTTCTTCTAGTAATGACAGTTTCAACTCTTACATTTGGACCTTTGATCCATTTAGAGTTATTTCTGCATTTATCAGTTCTCATAGTCTTTTGGTGGAGTCGCTGGGGTTTTCTATGTATACAACAACATCATCTGTAGACAGGGATAATATGACTGACTTCCTTCCTATTTTATTTCTGTCTCTTGCCTTATTACTCTGGGTAAAATTTCTAGTACTATATTGAATAAGATCATTGAGAATGGACACCCTGTCTTGTTCCTGATTTGAATGGAAACTCTCACTTTTTCCCATTCAGTATTATGTCATACATAGCCTTTATTATGTTGAGATAATATGGTAAGTACCTTCCCCAAGGTACTGATTGTCAGAACCGTCGGTAACTTACTTATTAACGAAACCCTCTTCTCCAACTCAGTCTTCTAACTTGCCACCCTGTTTCCATCATGCTCAGTCTCTCTAACCTTGATTTTCAGGATAGGTACTTCCCATATTTACTTTCCCCCATGGATTTTTGTTTTTACCTTTCCTGTGCCATGTCCCTGCTTTCTCAGTTCTTGGTTCTCCTCTTATGGAGAAAAAAAATTGGGAAGAAATTATGTACTCAATATATTCAATTGTTCTAGAAAAAATTTTTAGTGAAAATTTTGCAATACAATGCAAGTTTCTGAAAACCAATTTTTTTTTTTAAAGATTGAGCCTAAAACATTTTGTAAACATTGTCCTCTTTATTTTTGTATTTCATTAACTGGTGAAAACACACACACACACACATACACACACACACACACACACACACACACACACATTGAATAATCCAAAGTTCTTCTCATTAAACCCTTGGCTCTCCAGAGAAGATTGTTTTATGGGATGTGAACTACTGACTCTCTCTGAGTCCCTTTACTATCCTTTATTAATGTCTATCATTGACATGTGAAAACAAAAATGGATTTCATTTCTCATTGATAAAAAGTTCCAATGTTATACAGTCCCAGAGCAAGAAAACCAAAATGGTCAGAGAAAGGAAATGCTGATTAGTATAGAAAAATCACCCATAGTAACTGTAGGAAGTTGTCAGAGCCATCAGTCGTCAATTCTATACTACATGCAAGTCTTACAAAGACTTAACAAAGTAAGAAATACTAAAATGAAAATACATACTCTCACATAAGATAATCATGTTTTACATTATGGGCTGCAATTTTAATTAAAGCTGGCATATTTCTGCTGCTATGATTTAAAAGATAAACTAAGTTAGACAAGGTCTCAGATCTTTAACTACACCAAACCTGTTTGTGAATTTTGGCACTCTGCATTTTAGGTGTGTTATGAAGATGACAATGTGCCAGTCATCCAAGCTGTCAAACGCCTGCTAAAAGCTGTTCAGAGCCAAACTCATTTGCACTCAGATGAATGAATACCTCCCAAGAAGCAATGTCTTAAATACCTACAGTTTCAGGTGCCACTCATGGTTAGTAAAACAAATTTTACAACAAGCCCAGGATTTTTTTTCTCCCAAAGTGCTGAAATAATTCCATAGGATAAACCAAGGCGAAAAATTATGGGAATAATCAGTACTGTAATTACAGTGCATCAAACATTCACAGAATAAAGCATTGGGTTTAGACATTTACCCAATTATATGGTTTAAGACATTCTTCTCAAACAACTTAATTAACGTTATTTTGAAACTCAGTATTAAAAACATGCCCTCCACTTGGCAGGAAAACATTCACACACTTCTAGTGAGAGTTTAAATTGATACAAATTCCTGGTAAATAGTTCAAGGACATGCATCAAAATGTTTCACTGTCTGTATTCTTTGATGCACTGATCGTAGAAGTAAGGCCCTCACAAGTGCAGAAAAGGGGCAACAGGGGTAAAATTTGAGTTTTCTAAGCAGGAGGACTTTCATGTGCAAAGCACAAAGTGATAAAAGTTGTAAAGGTCTTTCCAAAACCACCAGTACCAAAGGTTTCTGGCTCTCAGAATTTGGACTCCTCCATCACACACAAAAATGAGTGGTGGTCACTCAGGGATGACTGTCTGACTAGCTTCGGGCTTGAGAATATCTTTCTGCCGGCAAGCATGCCAGAGATTGTCTCTTGTGCACTAATTCTCATTAGGGTTAGTGAGCCTACTTATATTTTTTGTTATACTTCACTATATTTTTATGAGGGAACATCATATATGCTATGGTGAAATTTTGAAAATTGTGGGTCTGTGGTGGTCTTTAGGAACATGAAGAATCTAGACTAGTTTGATATGGCAACACACACACACACACACACACACACACACACACACACCACACACACCACTCACCAGAATAGATTATGAATAGAAAATGAAGAATCTTACAGATAAAATTAACTAAAATAATCTCCATTTCTTAATACATCTGTCAGTACATGTTAAATTGTGCTGCGGGAGTAAACCAGAGAACATCGGCAGCTTGAAACGATACTTCATTGACGTTCATGTATAAAATGTGGTTCTTAAAGCTTTTGAGTGGAAATAATGTATGATTGACCCATTTATAGTTTCCTGGCCTGGGAAAATCACTCAGTCCTTTGTCAATTCACCATTATATGTGTTGTCGGGAGGTTCCTTCTTCAAGGCCCAAATGTTTGTAAACAATTATATAAATGACTGGTTTTAGAATTAATTTTTGCTTTCAGAAAGTAAATAACAAAATAATCGATCAATGGTGATCTAACAAAGCTACATGTCCTGATGGTTGAAAGGGCCTCCAAAGAAGACATGGGAGACCAAGAGTGAATGTCAACGTAGCAAAAAGAAAACAGTTGGGCAAGGGGCAGTGCTGTCCCTAAAGGTGGAATACGGACCAGTGGTTCAGTTCATGGCACCTGGTAAATGGTTAACACCTGGACTGCAAGCCTCAAAAGAGGACCCGTTTTCACAATCAGGAGAACATGAGCCAGCGTGAGCAGTTAGGGATTTGTCCACCTTCACCACATCCTTCCTCTGATTATGGGTTGAGCTCATGGAAGGAACAGGACATTTGGTAGACATTAG